CTGAGGGGGCAGTGCTGTTCCGGGCGGTGGGTGACTGGGGGGGGGTCCCTGACCCCCCTTTTGCCACCCCCCGCGAGGTGGCCACAGCGGCTACCATGGGACGCACGGCCACTGACCTCGGTGCCGACTTTGTCCTCGCCCTCGGGGACAACTTCTACTACCAGGGTGTGCGGGACGAGTGGGACCCCCGCTTCCAGGTACGGCTCCACGCCTCTGGGATGGGGGCACCCTGAAATGCAGGGGGGGCAGGGGGGCATCGGGGGGGGGATCCCAAAATCTGTATGGGGGAGCCAAAATCCCAGGGGGGACCCCAGTACCTCTCTGGGGGGAACCCGAACGTCCCCAGGGGGGGTGTGGGGAGCCTGGCTGGGCACACTGTGCTCGGCTCCCCCTGTCCCCACGTGTCCCCATCCCACGTCCCCATGTCTCTCTCTGTCCCCTGCTCCCCCTGGTTCCCCTCCCATCCCCTCCTGTCCTCCCGTGTCCCCACGTCCCCCTGGCAGGAGACCTTCGAGCAGGTGTTCACGGCCCCGGGGCTGCGGGAGCTGCCCTGGTTCGTGCTGGCCGGAAACCACGACCACGCTGGGAACGTCACTGCGCAGCTGGCGTACAGCCACCACTCCCCTCGATGGTAGGGACCCTCCCGGGACAGCCAAGACCCCTGTGCAGCTGCTGTTCCCTGGCATGGCCACCTGCCTGTGTCCCCAGGGTGTCCCCAGGTACCCCCGGGATGTCCCCAGTGTGTCCCCAGGTACCCCCGGGATGTCCCCAGTGTGTCCCCCAGCCTCCCGTGTCCCGCAGGCACTTCCTCTACTACTACTACAGCCTGCGCCTGGTGCTGGGGTGTCCCCAGGCTGTCCCTAAGTGCCCCCGCGGTGTCCCCAAGCCCTCTGTGTCCCGCAGGCACTTCCCGCACTACTACTACAGTCTGCGCCTCTCCCTGCCGGGCACCAACGCCTCGGCCCGGCTGCTGGTGCTGGACACGGTGCTGCTCTGCGGCGGCGCGGATGACTTTGGGGCAGGGGGTGCCCCCAGGGGCCCCCGGGATGCAGGGGCGGCAGCAGCGCAGCTGGCCTGGCTGCGGGG